TTGTTGAGGTTATGCACGTTGCCGATGCTGAGCGAGTGGAAATAGTTGCATATCAATTAAATAGTGTTGCTAGGACTTAGTTTGACCAGTGGAAGAAGAGTAAAGTTGAGGGTGCACCAATTTTGAGTTAGGCTATGTTTGTGGAGTCTTTCTTGGGGAGTTTCTTTCCCCATGAACTGAGAGAAGCCAAGGTATGAGAATTCCTTACTTTTAAGCAAGATTCACTAAGTGTTCATGAGTACAGTTTGAAGTTCGCCCAACTTTCTCTATATGCTCCGGAGATGGTTGTGGATATGAGAAGCAGGATGAGTCTGTTTATTGTTGGGTTGTCTCGTCTGTCAAGCAAGGAGGGAAATGAAGCTACGCTAATAGGGGACATGGATATAGCAAGGTTGATGGTTTATACGCAGCAGCATGAGGAAGAGAGGGCAAGACAGCTATGTTAATAGGGGACATGGATATAGCAAGGTTGATAGTTTATGTGCAGCAGATTGAGGAAGAGAAGTTGAGGGATAAGGAAGAATTCAGAAACAACAAGGCTAAAACATCAGGGAGTAAGTCCGGGCAACAAAAGAATAATGTGAACCGGTATTCTTTCCAACAGAAACATAAGGGACCTTCTTCATCATCTGCTAGTGCACTTGCACCAAGGAACAAAAGTGAGTATAATAGTCAAAATTCACGAAATTTCAGAGCTAGACCTACTTAGTCACAGGGTAGTATGGCACAAGGAGGTAATTGGGCTCCAACATGTGCAAAGTGTAGTAGGAACCACCCAGGTATGTGTCTGCTCTACTAGATGTTTCAAGTGTGGCCAAAGGGTCACTTTATGAAAGAGTGTCCGAAGAACAGGCAGGGGAATGGAAATAGGGGAAATAGAGCCCAATCTTCTTCAATTGCTCCACCAAACAGGGTTGCATCTAGAGGAGCTACTTCCGATACTAGCGAAGGAGCAAAGCGCCTTTATGCGATCACTAGTCATCAAAAGCAAGAGAATTCTCCAGATGATGTCACTGGTATGATCAAAGTCTTTACTTTTGATGTTTATGCTTTACTAGATCCAGGAGCGAGTTTATCCTTTGTAACTCTTTATGTTGCAATGAATTTCGATGTTCTTCCTGAGAAACTTTATAAGCCCTTCAGTGTTTCTACACCTGTTGGTGAGTCTATTCTAGCTAAGAGAGTCTATCGTGATTGTGTTATTTCCGTCAATCACAAGAGCACCATGGCTGATTTAGTTGAGTTAGATATGGTAAATTTTGATGTCATTCTAGGTATGGACTGGCTTCATGCCTATTATGCCTTCATTGATTGTAAAACTCGAGTTGTTAGGTTCCAAACTCCTAATGATCCAGTTATAGAGTGGAGTAGCAGTTCAGCAGTACCTAAGGGTCATTTCATTTCGTACCTTTAGGTGATAAAGTTAGTTTCCAAGGGGTGTGTCTATCACTTAGTTAGAGTAAATGATTCTAGTGTTGAGACACCTCCTATTGAGTAAGTTCCTATTGTGAGTGAGTTTCCTGAGGTCTTTCCAGATGATCTACCCGGAGTCCCTCCTGAGAGAGAAATAGACTTCGACATAGATATTTTTCCTGATACTCGTCCTATATCTATTCTGCCATATAGTATGGCACCAACAGAGTTGAAAGAGTTAAAAGAGCAGTTGAAAGATCTCCTTGATAAGGGTTTTGTTCAACCAAATGTCTCACCTTGGGGTGCTCCGATCTTATTTGTGAGGAAGAAGGATGGTTACCTTACAATGTGTATAGATTACCTCTAGTTAAACAAGGTTACCATCAAGAATAAGTATCATCTTTCGAGAATTGATGATCTTTTGGATCAACTTCAGGGTGCCACTTGTTAAGAGTAAGGGAGTGTGATATCCTAAAGATAGCTTTTAGGACCCGTTATGGTCATTATGAGTTTCTGGTCATGTCGTTCGGTTTAACTAATGTGTCTGCAGCACTCATGGACCTTATGAATAGATTATTCACGCCTTATTTAGATATGTAATTTATCGTATTCATTGATGACATACTAATATATACGAGGAATAAGGAAGATCATGCTAGCCATCTCAGAATAGTTCTCCTAACTCTAAAAGATAGAGAGTTGTATGCTAAGTTCTCTAAATGTGAGTTTTGGCTTGATTCTATGGCATTCTTAGGCCACATTGTTTCCGGTGATGGGATTATAGTTGACACTCAGAAAATAGAGGCAGTACATAATTGGCCTAGACCCACATCTCCGATTGGTATTAGGTGTTTCTTAGGGTTGGCTGGATATTATAGAAGGTTTGTAGAGGGTTCTCATCTATTTCATCCCCTTTGACCAAGTTGACTCAAAAGACAGTTAAGTTTCAATGGTCTGACGCTTGTGAGAAAAGCTTTCAGTAATTGAAAAAGAGGTTGATTACTGCCCCAGTATTGACCTTTCCATAAGGTACTCAAGGTTTTGTGGTGTATTGTGATGCTTCCAGAGTTGGTTTGGGTTGTGTATTAATGCAGAATGGTAAAGTTATAGCTTATGCCTCCAGACAGCTAAAAGTTCACGAGAAGAATGATGTAGTGTTTGCTTTTAAGATCTGGTGTCACTATCTTTATGGTGTTCATGTAGATGTGTTCAATGATCAGAAAAGTCTTCTGAACTTAGAAGATATGTTAAGGGCCTGTGTGATTTCAAAGGTAATTGGGATGATCACCTACCCCTCATTGAATTTTCCTATAACAATAGTTACCATTCTAGCGTCTAGATGGCTCCTTATGAAGCTCTCTATGGGAGAAGATGCAGATCTCTTATTGGATGTTTGAGGTTGGTGAAGCTGAATTAATAGGACCATACTTAGTTCTTCAAGCTATGGAGAAAGTTAAAATTATCCAAGAAAGGTTGAAAACAACACAGAGTCGGCAAAAATCCTACACTGATGTTAGGAGAAGGGACTAGAGTTTGAAGTAGATGATTGGGTATACTTGAAAGTTTCACCATGAAGGGTGTTACGAGATTTGGTAAGAAGGGGAAGCTTAGTCCCCGGTATATTGGCCCTTACAAAATATCCAAGAGGATTGACAATGTAGCTTATGAGTTAGAGCTACCACAAGAGTTAACAGCGGTCTATCCGGTATTTCATATTTTCATGTTGAAGAATTGCATGGGAGATCCTTCACTTATCATACCAACTGAAGATATTAGTATCAAGGATATCTTGTCTTATGAGGAGATCCCCTGTTCAGATTCTAGATAGTCATGTTCGCAAGTTGAGGACCAAGGAAGTAGCATCAGTCAAAGTTCTTTGGAGAATTAGTTTGTTAAGAAAGCTACTTGGGAAGCTGAGGAGGATATGAAGAAGACCTATCCACATCTCTTTGAGCCCGGAGAAATTCCAGATCAAGGTACTAATCCTCTTCTTAGTACTCTTTAATTGATATGCTTATTGTGTTAGATTTTCTTGTTAGGTGTTGGAACTGAATAAATGTTACGCCCTTAGTCTACTAAGAGTAATCTTATTCGAGGACGAATGTTCTCAAGGGGGGAGATATTGTAACACCTCGCTAAGTGAAAGAGCTGGAATTAGAAAGAGTCATTTTTGGAAAGAATGAAAAATCTAGAAATTTGTTTAAGTTATGTTAAGTTTGAGTTTTGGGTCAACTTAAAACGACCATAACTCTTAACTCAGGATGAGTTAGGTGTTCTACAAGATACCGTAGGAAATATCTTTAAATTATCTTTCCAACACCGCCGATTTTGCTCAATTTCAAGTTCGTATGAGGGAGATATGCCCATTTGAAGTTGGGTTGTCTAGATAAGGAAAGTCAAAACCGGATTTTAGAAGGGTATTATGGTCCTTTCATTACTCAATTAAATTATTTCATTTTTAGTAAGTTATTTGGGATCTAAACTAAGTTAGATCAGTTTACGCAATTAAGAAATACTCTAGGGCTTTGAGAGAAGAAAAAAGAGGAGAAAGGTCAAGTGTTCTTTGGAGATTTCTTGCGGAATCGAAGTCGTTTCGCCAAGGGTTGATCCCTAAAGAAGTATGTGAGACTTTCATAGCGTTGGATTCGTTCACCCACACGACAATCATGTTTGTTTCAGCGAAATTCGTTCTAGAAAGTTGAAAGTATGATGTTTCTTGAATTATGTTCTTGAAATTGGCTTTAGTTCTTGAGATTTGATGGGATTGTTGAGTTCTTGATGGAATCGTGTCGATTTTAGAGTTGTTTTGAGTTAGAATCATGTGTACATATATTGGGTATCTGAATCTAAAAAGGAATTGAGAAAAAGAATCGAATTTAGTCGAATTGGGATGAGAAAACGAAGAAGGAAAAAGTCTAGCAGATTTCGGCACGCAAGTCCGCATCGCGGACTTGCTCCCCCAGTGCACAAAAATCACCTTCGCATCGCGGAGAAGATGCTAACTCCTCTGTTTCAAAAATAAATTTTACGATCAAATATTTAAATGCATCTCCGCGTCGCGGACTTGTTTGTAATAGTAGTTATTCTAAGTATTTGCCTTTTTGGATAAATTGTTGTCTTTTTTTCTCTTGTGAATGAATCATATTTTAATTTTGTGTATAATCACTAAAAGAATAACTAAATCGATAACAATCAAAACGATAAAATTATATTAATTTAAATAATTAAAAATTAATTAAATTGATTTTAATTTTGATTTTAATTTTGATTTTAATTTTGACCAATAATCGATCAGTAAACACTACTACCCACCATTTCAATTTATTTATCAATTTTAATTTAACACAAAACTTAACATATTAAAGAAAACTTTTAAGTCTATTAAACTAAAAATATATACTATATATCAAAATATCATATCCTTGAATCTTGTAATTCGTAATCGTAATCTTATGATTAAACATATTACGTAAAAATTTAAATTAAAGAATTGCAAAAAAAAATAGACATTTTTTTAAAACCTGGCTAATAAATAAACAAATTGAAACAAAAGAGAATATTTTCTCATATATGTATATAAAATAAAGTAAAATTAAAAAGAGGAATTTCAATTTACCAAAGAGGAAATTGAACTTGGGATCAATACATCAAAATTGTTTATTGAACATTAATGTCAAAAACTTTGGGATTACTACTAGCCTTAGGTATAGTAATATACAAGACACCATCTTTAACCTCAGCCTTAATCTTTTCAAAGTCAATATTCTCAGGCAAAGCAATTCTTGTATTATATTTTCCATAGCTCTTAGCTGACCATTCTTCTTCCTCTTTTCCATTATTCTTGACCCTTTTTTCAGCTTTGACAACCAACATTTTCTCTTCTAACCAAACTTTTACATCTTCTTTGGTCATTCCTGGCATGTCAAACCTCATTTTGTATTCTGCTTCACTTTCTTTTATCTCCCATGGTGTCCTTCCCCTTTTGTACCCGACATCATCAGTCGATGGCCCTGCAATCAAGGCGAATGGAACATACAATCAATGAGTTAAGTCGATTATGAGTATTTTCGATACGGAGTATAGCTATATACAGAAGTATAAGATCACTAATAAATATAATGTTTGAATTAATAATTTTGAAGTACGTGTGTTTGGTACATAGGAAAATGTTTTCCACAAAAATCATTTCCTAAAATATAGAACAACAAATGAGTTTCTTATTTATTTTTATTTTCTAGAAGTAAAATATATAATTAACAAAAAATTACCTCCTGAACACCAAAATATTTACTACTTCTGTCTCAATTTATGTGGCACTTTTTATTTTTCGCGAGTCAAATAATTTAAATTTGACTGAAAATCTACACACGCAATCTTCAAAAAAAATTTAAATAAATTTTTTATATTTATTAACTACGTAAAAAGTACTCCCTCCATTTTAAATTAATTGAATTTTTGAGACATTTTTCATTTTTCAAATTAACTTAATTGTTCAATTTAATTGACTACTTTTAGAATGTTCTTCTAATTTTACCCTTCATTAGTTAGTATTGGAATTAGTTACTTAATTAATGTTTAGTTATTTTAATCATAAATTTAACACTAATTAATAAGGGTAAAAATGAAAAGTTATGTCTAATTTATATCTTAATCTTATTTTCTTAAAGGGTGTGCAACACCTGAACAATTCAATTAATTTGAAAGGAGTGAATAATATAAGTCACAATAATTGATAATTCAAAATGTTTAAAAAATCTATGAAAAATTTATAATCAAAGATAAATATATTTAAATCTCAAGATTCAAAAAGTGTTACACAAAATGAAACGAAGGAAGCCCCCAAGGCCTAGCTCAAGTGGCAAAAGGTGGAGGATTTGTGGCTAGGTCACAGGTTCAAACCCACACCATGCAAAGCGAAGCCCGGTATTTAAGTGGAGAAGGGTAGAGGGGCGGGCCCATTATCCACCGAGTTTAGAAGGCTGTGATTGGTCCAAAAGGTGGGTCACAGACGGATTTCTCGGTTATCAAAAAAAAAAAAATAGAAACGAAGGAAGTATATATTATCTAACAAAAATGATATTTATATATTATCTAACTAAGCATATAAGCCAGAATATAATGGGGATTTGTGGTTTAGGATTGACATGGTCAAGAGGTGGAACCAGGGTTGGGGCAATTCAATAGGTGGGGGATACAATAAATTTAAAATTTAAAATGTCGCTTAATGAAACTTTTTTTTTTGCTCCCATTAGAAAAATCAAAACATTATGTTTTTAGAGAAAATATTTTCTAAACATCCTGACATTCCAATATGAAAAAATTGAAAAATCATTTTCCTCCAATTTTAAGAATGAATTTAAAAATTGAATATTTACTATACCTGCAACCCAACCTCCATTAAAAGCAAGAGGGTCCTCCATGACTCTGTCCATTGTGTCCATCATTTGTTGCACTGTCCTTGCTGTTGGAAACCTATCCCATAAGCCTGCCACAAAATATTCAAGAAAGCTCAACTTCATATTGAATCAAAATAAACATAACAAAATGTTATATTGGCATTCTCTAGATCAAAATTACTAAAGATGTAAAAGTTTTAGTAACAAAATGGCCCAAAATTAGAGACAAGTCAAAGATATATAATTAATTTTTATTTTATTTTTATAATTTTCATTAAATAATAACCTAACAAAAAATAATAATAAACCTATTTATATGTATAGGACTTCACCTTTAAAAATGGTTTGTGCATATTGGCCCACCCCCTTTGGAAAATTCATCATCAAGCACTTTGACATCATGTGTTATGCTAAAAGAAAATAACAAAAACATGAACTTTACCTTGGCTTTAATGGCTAACTGTCACCTTTAATTTTGGAGGTAGGTACATAAAAACTTTAACGTTTATAAAACTAAAGAATAAACATATTTATTCTATATGGTAATTATGTGTCCATAAAATATCACATATGACATATATATCTACTTATTTAATTTTATACAAATTTAAATCCCTAATTATACACGCTTATAGTTGAAGGACATAGATATCAGATGAAATCAAACTAAATGACATATTAGATTAAAAAAAAAAAGTTAAAGGGAATGTATTGATCCTTACCAACAGGGGCCATTTGGGGTGATCTTTTTCTAGGTTGAGGAGCCTTGTTTTGTCTTTGTAAGTGATCAAGATTGTGTCTTTCATCAACAACCATGACCTTCAATTTCTTATAATTACCATGATGTTTTCTACTAGAAATTGGAAGAGAGTAATTGGAATATTTTGGATTGTTTGAAAATGAAATAGGTTGAGAAATTGGAAATCTTGATAAGCAGTGAGCCATGTTTATAATTATATTTGATAAATGAAGTTTCAAACTCAAAATCAGAATAAAGAGCAAATGTGAGTGATGAAAATATAAAGGGTAGAGGAGAATAATCTGGAAATACTAAATGGCTTGTTACTAGACTTCTCTAGAACTTCTTTAAATTCTCTTGGATTGGTTAAGAAAAAAAGAATATTGGCAAAAATATTATTTCTTCACATGTAAATTTTAAAAACCTTTTTGGATATATAAGTTAAAAGTTGGGAAAATTTTAACTTACTTTTTTACTTTGATTTACCATATGATTTGTATTCCACTTAATTAATTTCCCATATATCAATTTGTCTTTGTTGACATCCAGAAAGTTCTAGGATATTGGTAGAAGGTGCATGATGAGTCCAGGACCACATTTTTGGTGACTTGGTCCAGTTTTAGTTAATGATTCTGCTTTTTATTTATTTATTTATTTGTTTGTTTGTTTGTATATTTATTTTCTGCCTTCCATATACGAATTAAAAAACAAAAGCAGTTCTTTATGTGCTAATACATGGCCAAATTAAGGATTGGAAAATAATTAAGAACTTGTCTTTTCAAAGTTCTATATAATTTTTTTATTATATTATGATTACAAGTGCCATTTGACAGCGCTTAGGTAAAAAATCACAAGCTTATATATTATCTTTGTCAGAAATCTACATGTATGTTTTTTTAGTATATAATATAATGGATTGATTGCTTGAAAATTAAACACCAATTTGGGAGAAAACATAAGGGTAATTTTCACTTTTGTCCCTATTTTGTGCTAATTTTTAGTTTTTACCTGTTAAGGCAAATAATTTTTTTTCGAAGTATAATTTATATTTTGTATCATATTATTATACATACGTGTGTCTTTAAAGAACTTATGCCCCCTCTAGGCAGAAGTTTGATCAGTGAGGACACAAATAAAAATTAATTTATTGAAAAAATAAATCATACAATTTAATGAAAAATAAACCCTAGAAACTTTATTGACGATTCAAACCCACATACAAATATTGAAATATGTTCATTCTAATATAATACTACTATATATTTGATCTCAATTAATAATACAATATTACCAATCGATTGTAATATATTATTTACAACCGCATCACATCAATTATCAACATATAAACCAACTTATGCATGTTTCAATCTCTATTACTTTATACAGAGATTTGTTGCACATAAGCGGAGGATTCTGTAGAAACAGACTTTGTCCTCTACGAGGTAATGTAGTGGAATTTCAATAGGTATGTTATTGTACATTTCTTTGACGTAACTAATTATGCGCTCGATTTCACTTTATTGTATAGTAGAGTAATTCATTTATATTTCATACGTTTATATGTATAGAAAATATAGCTGTCAGGTTAAAGACAAATATTGTGGCTGGCAAATATATTCTATGTTACATCATTAATATTTTTATTCAAACAAACTATAGAACCATCCATCCAACAAATACCAAGAGAAAAAAAAAAGAATGTTGATGATCAGGCCTGGATTGTACAAATTGAATCGAATAGATATGTCAATATACTCAACTTGTGTAGTGGAAGCTTATGCTACTCGCTCGGATCCTCCAAAAATGCAGTCATACACACGAGTGTATATGATTCTTCAAAAATTAAATATTTTTGAAAGATTGAATTTTTGTTGGACGTCATAGAAAATTATCTTGTAAGTTGTCGAAAAGATCCCAATTATGAATTGGACTAGCTATCCAATTTTGGAAAGGATCTTCAACTCCTGGATAATACATATCCAAAGTATGTGAATTTTGGAACATTTCCAAATTACTCTCATTTATGCTTGAACTAGATGTTGAATTTTGTTGCTCTTGTGTATACTCTAAAGTTTTTTCTGGCATCACCTTTTCATTAATCTCTTCACTAACTTGTTGCTTAATATCATCATTATTAATCTCTTCAATTGGCTTGTGAGTTAGAGGGTCTATGCCAAGAAATTTTAGCTTCTTCTTGATTCTTGTATTCCAATGATTCTTGATTTCGTTGTCTGTACGCCCTGGAAAATGTCCTGCTATTTTCGACCACCTATTATTTTAAAAAAATGAAATTAGTAACCTGAAAAATAACGCGAGTACATCAATTGTGCAAAAATATGGATTTGCAAGTTATTACCTATTGCCAAGTTGAGAATGAAGCTTGATGATCATGTCTTCCTCTGCTTCAGTAAGTGCTCCTCTTTTGAGGTCTGGCCTTAGATAATTTATCCATCTTAATCTACAACTCTTCCCACATCTCATTAGCCCTTCAAAGATCATCAATTAATTATGTTACATAATATTACTTTATTCTTTTTAAATTTCTTTTACAATGTAAGAAAGAAATTAAATCCAAATATTTATGTTTTATAGTGCAAACAGATTATATTAGATCAATTGTTTAGGTAGTATAAATATCAAATGTAGGTAAGTTATTTTAGAATAATTACGTCCTGCTCCTTTTAGTCCATATTAATTAAATTTGTGAGGGCATGCAATGCATACTCCTAAAGAAGAAGAAAAACAGATATAAATTGAACACCACTTTCTACTTTTACCTGTTTAGTTATTCTTAAATTATTCTTGAAAATAGAAACAATTCAAAGTAAAATCAGAAATATGAGCAATCAACTCCCATGAACTTATCACCTAGAAAATATAAAAATATAAAAAAAATTCAACAACAGATCTCTTGAATAATGAACTAGAGGAAGTACCTTACTATATGAGAAGAATAGAGTAAAAACGATAAATATTTACACGCAATAGATATCTATACAGAATAACTCCACACATTACATGTGTGTTTTATTAATTTAATTTGTTACCTGCTAATTTTGGTACAAGACGCCAACATTGTATACCATTATTGAGGATGAAATTCATAAGCCTATGATCTTCTTCAATTGTCCAAGGACCCCTTTTGAGTCCTATTTTGTCACAACAAGGTTGTCTTCCCATTTTAATTAATGTTTTTGCTACACAAAAAAATCAATTAAACTTTGGATTAGTAGCCAAACAAAAAATGTAGCTTATAAACAAAAGCAAAGATTCTGCCAACTCAACTAATAATTGAGGAAGAAATAAAGAATCAAATAATTAACCTTAGTTATTTAATAATTATATTGTTTGGTTTTCCTTATCATTGCTAACAAAAAATGTACCATTTATTATTATTAGAATTAAGAAAATTTGAAGAAGCAGACGTGACTTCTTGTCGTTGACATGTTTTTATATATACCCACGATGTTTTCTCCAATTGAATTTTGCAAAAAGTAAAACATTTTAAATTTATCAAAAGATTCTTAAGGTTGCCTTTCAGCTGGCTTTTGTTACATTTAATGGGAGGCAAGTCCTTTTCTTCTCCTCTTTTTTATTATTTTATTTCAGAGACACAAGTAATGAAAACACTCTTAAATTTTGTGTGAATTATTAGTTTTATTTTCAAATTATTGATAGTCTTAAAAATACTCATTTACTTGACTAACGAAACTTTAGTACACCTCCGATCTTGCGACATAAGTGAAATACACCCCTAAATTCTCACCAAATTTAAGGGTGCTTTCATTACTTCTCTCGACTTTTTATTAAGTGTCTCATGGTCCTACAAGAGTTTGATACCACTTGCAATGTCATCTGGCAGATCGGGGGTATATCTAAGTTTAGATAATCAAGTGGGAATTTTTAAAGCTGTCAATAGTTCAAAATGAAACTAATAATTGGGGTCAAGTTCAGGATATTTTCATCAATACTTCTCTCTTTATTTTATTCTATTTATTTATTAAGTATTTGAAGCTTTTTGATTCTATTAAAGGCTAAGGTGTTCTACTTTAATTTCTTTATGTTTTTTATTTACCTTATCTATTGCATCAAATCTCAAAGTGATTCATTTTCTCAATATTTTTAGTGCAATTTGTAGCAAACATTTATTCTAATTTCATGAGCCAAATATGAACGCTTGTTAATCCCATCATTATGTGTTCATTTTTATCATTAATTTTTGTTGACAACTTCAAATTTCGTGATTGTCAATTGGGTTAATTAGTTGACTATATATATTAATCTCCAACGATATGATTAACTAGAATATGCTCTCTTAGATAAAACCATCTTATAAGTACGTCAATTATACATTTAAGGCTCTTTAAGTTCAATATGTTAAGAATACAATTAAATATAAAAGAATACTCTCTCTAATAACTTAAGTTTTTATATGAGATAGTCACTTTAACATGATATCAGTGCAGACAGAGGTTTTGAGATTGAATCTCACCACCACTCGATCATATCAAAAAGAATTCTCACGTGTTTGACTAATAAAAAGTCTTCTCCTTTGCTTTGGTTATCTTACTATTTTTATTAGTCACTATTATTCGTTTTTTAAGATTTTCATCATAGCTTCTCCACTCATGTATTTTTCAAATCTATAATATAAAATATTTTTTTCTTGTATTGATGGTTTATCAAAAATAGTCTTTCTACACTAGGTACCCTTCCTAAATCCCACTCGTGGAATCACAATGAATATATATTATTGTTACTTCGAATGGTTCAAATCTATTTTAAAGTTTTTTTCTTAGTTTATTAATTTAAAAACCTTGTACTTTTTTAGTTCAAAATGTTTATCTTTTAAATTAATTTAGGGAAAAAAGACAAATATACCCCCGAACTATCGTAAATGGTATCTAAATACCCTTCGTTATACTTTTAGGACTCTCATGTCCTTACCGTCCAAAATTTGAAATATATATACCCTTATGATAGACGGCGAGAAACGTGGCATCATCTCAATGTCCCACCTAAAATTATTTAATTTTTAACCCAAAAATTACCCGTGACCCGAATAATTTAAACACCCGACCCAAATTATAACCCACGGACTGACCTAAACAAAAAATTATAATCTACCAACTAACCCAAATGAAAAAAAAAAAAAAGACAAAGGCAACAGCAGCCATTGCCTCTTTCATCTATTAATCACTTCTTCTTCAGTGAAATCTTTTCTAATTTCATCTTCTTCAATGAAAACCACTGCCTCCTTAATGCCTCTCTTTTTCTTAGCTTTTCATGACACATTTTCAATTGTATTTTAGCATTTGAGTGATGTTTTTCTTCCAATTATTGTTTTTGCAAAGCAATCATTGGTTTGAGTATCAAGTGGAAGTTTCAGTAGTGTGAAGTTCAAGTATCCACTCATCGCCCAAATCGCTGCCTCTCCCGATCAGTTCAAAAGTGCGAGATACAAAATTTTAGCATTATTTGCAAAAATCATTGAGTATTACGTCAAATTCCGTTTTCACCTCATCCACAACTGGAGCATCTGTTGTTGCTCTACCAAGACGGCGACGATGGCAACGGGACTACCTCCTCCGATGCTTTAACGGTGGCAAAAGGACGAGCGAAAGTTGCTCGGTGCTGATGGAGTTTGGGAATGTGAATGGGGTGCTCTAGTGTTTTGGTGGGGAAGGAAATTGAAGCTTTTAATTAATTGGAGCTTGAAAAATGAAGAACTTGGCCAGAAGTTCTTTGAGAAATCGGAGAAATCTACATAAGATGGAGAAGTGTTTTTGGGTTATAATTTGGGGTGGGTATTATCTTATTTGGGTGGGTTTTAAATTATTTTTGGGTGGGTCTTCAAAATTATGGGTCAAAATTTAATAAATTTCGGATAGGCATTTTAGATTGAGACACGTGTCCCGACGTTAGTAGAAAGGGTACATACGTTCCAAATTTTGGATGGCAAGGACATGAGAGTCCTAACAATATAACGGAGGGTATTTAGATACTATTCACGATAGTTCAGGGGTATATTTGTCCTTTTTCCCATTAATTTATAGACCTATTACTAGTAAAAATGGGGCTCAAAAAATTGGGGCCTTTGCTTTACTTGCTTTTTGCTTTAACCGGCCCTATCTTTGTGTATTTACTTTCCATTATATACATTGTCAAAATTACATTATATCAACTATACCATACTTTGTTATTTTCATTTTATACTTTCTTCATTTTAATTTAGGGAAATTTATTTGTTCTGTTTTGATCAGATACGAAATTTATGAAAATAAATAAGATTTTTAAATCTTTGATCTTAAATAATTAGTAATATGCATATCTTGTGCACTTAGCATGTTATGTGAAATGTTGAATACAAAAAATTGTCAAAAAAGAGACATTGCTTTTTTCAAACAGACTTCTAAGAAAATAAGATGAATAAATTAAATCAAAATAAATAATCAAATTCATTCTGATCTCCTTTAATGAAAATTCAGACCATGATACTTACGAACTTAAATTATTTATTTAATTGCAAAGGCAATAACAGACAGAAGAACAAAAAGAATAGTTGTATGGAGATATTGTTGTCTGAAAAGAGATTTAGATGGCTTTCATGATTCACGTACTTAGTCAGGATTTGAATAATGAGTTCAATGAATTTGTAATTTTCTTTCTGTACATGGACCATGCTTTATTTTTTTTATATTAAGCAAAAATGATTGAATATTGAGATGGTTTAACTAAAGACAAAATAAAATAACAGTGCACTCACAATATCGACTTAATTAACGCCTTCCTTGTTAAAAAGTATACTAATGATTGTTAGCTTCCATTTTTTGCCCGCAAGTTTAATGAGTGGATTTAAATTATATTTATGTATTTAATTTTACCTTTCGAAGTTTAAAAAAGTAACGGAATATTTTAAATCTTGTGATTTCAAACTAAAGACATTTAGAATGTATCAAAACGTCTTTTAATCTTGTGATTTTAAACATGTCATATGAAAAATTAGAATTAAAAAATTGCCAAAAAAAAAAGATATTTAATATTAAACAAACTAATACAAAGAAATATAAATTAAAACAAAGAGGATAGTATGATAAAGAATTTTTCACATAACATGTATTTTAATTTGTTCCTACTAAATTTTGGTCAGGTTATCAATCTTACTTATTATTAAGCAGTAGCTTAGTAACTATATATGAACTAATCGTGTAAAAGAATCAGGTTAAACTATTAGAGATTTGTAGTTTGTTTGGTCAAGTTTTTAAAGTCAATTTATTTTGGTTTTTTTTTTTTTAAGGATGGAGCCCTATGCTGCACGATTTCAAATATCAAACACAAAACGAAAAACAAATAAGTTAGGTACTAATTAGTGTCGGCAATACCATGGTCTCCACACTAACAAGCTAATTAGTGAATGCCTTAATGTAATGGGTAGGTCGGGTAATATTTAGAGCCAAGATGTATTGGTGTAATTACGAATAATTAATTTCGATTTTGTGAATACTTTATGTGTGTTTTCCTGATTTTTATGATCTAGAAGATAAACTGTTCTATTAATTAAGTAGCAATAAAAGGGGCAAGAACCTGAGGACCATTACTTTTTTCTAATTTATTTGGTTGAGAGTAGGTTTGCGTATTGGTCAGTTCGATTGATTTGATTTTGAAGTTTATCGATTTGTGGTTTCCAATTTGAGATCTTGTCGCGCTGAAAGCAGTCTCCAAAGCAACTGATGAAGCTTGAAAAGCTAAAGGCATCACGTTATTTTGCTAAGTCTTAGAAATGCACTGTCACGTTTTCTCCACCAATTTAATAGTTGTGAGTTGTCATGCTAGTCTATAACCAATTCTAATCCCTGATTAAGGTGTTTTTTAAAATTGTCACAATTGAAGAATCAAGACGAAGAATACCTCTCATATAATTATCAATACAATCACTGTTAGCATTAGAATTTTGAGGAGCCTCTACTTCATTGTTTTTTGCATAAATTTAAATTTTTATACAACATTTTGGCTTGCACTTTTTTGCTAGACTTACAAAGTTCGACACTTGAAACTTCTTCCGGTAAAATTACTAAAATTTCATAAATTATATTAACAAGTGCTTGTACACCTCTTAATTTATATTATGGGTTAAACAAAATAGCAGTTAAAAATATTTGAGGAATAGAAAAAAAATATTTTAAAAATTTTTCAACCATAACTTCAATA